TTGTTTTAGAACAATAAAAGAGACAAATGTTTGAAGATCTACACTATCATACTCTTATTACCTCAAAATTATTGTCTAGTATAAATTTTTACTTTTAATTTAATTTGTGCTAAAAATACAAATTCAAATTAGATAATAATTTCAATATAGAAGAAGTAGCTGACAAAAAAATCAACCAAATCATGTTCTATGTAGACAATGGATCATCTAAGCATAATAGTCTACGGTCTACCAAGGCTAGTTACTGCTAAGGTTGCCAGTGAGTCCGGAATAAATTCAACTCTTGATATATGTTTCACTTTTGCAACTCACAACCTTTGCATTGAATCGCACTCACAGATAGTCTTTACTACACTCCGATTCATACCAAATATTTCTTCATTAGAGCATCTTTAGTGTTGCATTTATTTGCTGCACACCAAATAATCAAATTTGTTGTTTTACTTCTTGTTATCTCCAACCTACAATACTACTTTTTACATCAAAACAGAATATTCTTTATATATTCTTCTTCTTATCATTATTTACTAATTTGTTTGTGTTATGTGTTTAAAATTTTTTTTTTTTTAATAAGTGTATATCTATTTTTGATTTGTTGAATGTTTGTTTTATATTTTGGTTATTTGATTGTTCTAGTATTAATGTATTTGTATTTTAATACTTTTTCTAATATAATATAATACACACATTATTTGATTACAAATATTTTTATTTTTATTCCAACATCAAATCATTTTATTATATAAATAATGAGCTCTTGAACAATATAAATGAAAAAATTAAAATCATTGATTACAAAGTAATAATTACTCTGAAAGATATTTTTTAAAATATTAATTTTATGTCCATGAAAATTAATAATAAAATATAACTATAAAGACTTGTAAACAAATTAAAAGTAAAAAGAAAAAAGGCAAACGAACAAAAGGGGTTGGGGTCGCCATTTGCTTCTGCAATAGTAGAGGAGCAAATTTGCTGTTTTACTGTAGTTGTTGCAGCATTTTGCTACTTGGAATTGGTGCTCTGCTGCAACGTTGGAGCATTCACGCAGCAAAATTGGATACCAAATTGGTGTTTTGCTGCAACATTGTGGATGCCCTTACACCTCACCATGATAACACGCTCAAGTTGTTAATTTCCACCATAATCTTTCGGATCCTTAGCTAACTTAGATTTAAGCCTTGAAACAAATTTCAAAACTCAGCACCATAAAAATGCGGTTGACATGTCAACGTCAATTGCCGGTTTCTCATTGCATAATTGATCGGTGGAAGTACTTGCAAGAATGAACGAGACACTCATCCCCAATTAGTGATTGTTTGGAGCTCATAAAACAGTTTAATTGAAATTTTGTGATCTGAACCTAATGTTAGAACTGAGCCATTATAAATGCAGGTTGTGCCTAACTGATTGGATCTTTACCGGTTCATATTGTTACGAGTATTTACTCCATTTTAAAATATAAGTAATTTTGAGTTGAAAAAATATTTCAAAATATAAGTCGTTTAAAAACAAATTGTGATTGAACATGGAAGTTTTCACTAAAAATGCCCCAATGAATTTAGAATCATATAAGTCCATATAATGATAATTACAAAATGACAACTGAGATGATTTAATTAACAAGGACAAATTAATCAACGAATCACTACCCCCCAACCCACCTAAACCCTTTTATCTTGAGCAAGGGAAATGGAGCAATCAAAAAATAATTACAAGGTTTGCCCGTAATGAATCACGAATCATTCATAATTTTGCTGTGCGAAGTCTGGCTTCAGCAATAATTTAGATCTTCCCCTAAATGAAGACGAAGTTGCTGTAGCTCTTTGCTTCTTCTTCGTCAAGAAATGTCTGTACCAATCGGCAGATGCCCTAGGCCTTCTTTCCAACGTTGTACGGTCCACAGAATAAAGTCCAAACTTTAAAGAATAACCCATTAGCCACTCAAAATCATCCACCAACGTCCATATAAAATATCCTCCTACATTAGCCCCATTCCTATGTCCAAAACAAAAATTCATGGGATGAATGTAGTTGACTTAAGTTATTTAATGATTAAAAGTTAAAACTCTGAAGAAGATTATATTATAATACTCCACATTACAAGTGTTGTTACCTCATGGCTCCTGCTAAGGATTGGATATAAGCTTTGTGATATTCAATTCTCTTGACATCATTCTTCAAGTCCTCATCAGTTTGATCTGGTTGAGCATAACCTGGATTTGTGATTAATTATTTGAAAGTTAAAGAATTTGTCATTATGTGCTCAAGTGTTCATCAACGAATACATTGACACATTACCACAAATGATTGCCATTGTGGCCGGCGATGATGGTATAGTGGAAGAAAAAAAATCAAATAAATTTGGTATCGATTAGATTAATTAAAAGAATGGACGGGGCACTTAGCTAAATCATCAATATCGTCCTATACTTTATTGTTCCTTGCTAAAAATGTTCAAATATAATATAATCTATTCGGATGTTATTCTTTAGTTCTCATGCATCATCATCTTATTCTTTAGTTCTCATGCATCATCATCATCATCATCACTATCATCTTAAAGCCAGCCAACAAAATAATAAACTAGAAGCAAGAGGTGGAACGCACGCAAGAGTTTCGAATATTAAAAATCGTACCATTTTCAGTGATAAAAATAAGCTTGTTATGGTATCTGTTCTTCATAGAATCCACCAACTCCCCTATCCCTCTTGGTACAACATAGCAACCATCCATCGCGGTCTGCAAACAAATTTAAGGATTTGAAAAAAGAGAGGATAAATCATCAGTATCTTTAGATTTTGTAACTTCATGATAAGTAATTAACGTAAATAGTGTACTCTCTAACCTATTTATACAAAAATTAAAACTAAACTTTATTTATTTTAATATTTTATACTGCCTCCATCTAAAATGATTGTATAATTTGGAATTCATTTTTTAGTTCGAATCGTATTAAAACTGAAAATGTAAACTAGATAAGAATTTGGGTGAAAAAAAGAAATAAATACCAACGGAAGGAGTACAATAAACGAACAGTTTCGTACCGGATCGCCAATTAGAACGCCATCTTTCTCCGTAGTAATGGTGAGGAGGCCAGATAGGGATGCGTCTTGCCAAATACAGCCGGAATCGGTACAGTCACAATTCGTAGAAGAGTTGCAAGCCTTTGTATAAAAAGTTCCGTAGTGGTTTAGTCCGATGAAGTCAGCACTGTCTTTTAGGATTTGTTTCTCTTCTTGGGTGAATCTTGGCAGTTCATTCTTCCGATGGTGACGTATTTCTTCAGGGTAATCACCAAATACCACAGGATCGAAAGTCCTACATGCCCACCATCATAATAATAAATCAATGTAACGCAAATTCGATGTAGACCAAGTGTTAACAAAATTCGATGGTGACGTTTCTTCAGGGCAACTTACCAAGCTGCATTGAAAACTAAAGCCAGCCTTGCAGCTTCCACATCCTTTTCACTCTCACTAAATGGTTCAAACATAAATACGTTTGCCACAATTCCGATTATGCCACCTTGTTCCAGCTGCATCAATTAAGGACGCATCATTTAATGCAAGAAGAAAACATAATAATAATATATAATACGTGTACTATTAGAATGAGACGGAAATAACGAATAATGCATGCCTGATATTTGTCATGGTACAGTTTAGAAGCTTTGGCGTGTGACAATAACATGTTGTGCATTGCGATCAGTGGCTCAATTTTGGAATTGCCAACCGGGCAGTTACCGAAAGGAGTAGAGCAGCGATTCGGGGGGAATAATCCCTTCTCAAAAGCCATCTTTGTCACCAGATTCGGTTCATTGATTGTGATCCAGTGTTTGACCCGATCACCAAAATACTTGAAACATGTTTCCGCATAATGCACAAAGTCCTCTCTGATTGGTTTTACCCGAATCATCTTGTTATTGATCGCTTTATAACTTCATAAATCATAAAATATGAAGGTTAAATTAAGTAATTAAAACATACTGAATCAGAGGACTGAGCCAGCCTCCATATCTGTTCTGAAGTACTATTGGAAGATCACCATGGTGGATTGTCACAAATGGCTTTATCCCTGAAAGAATTTTAAATTATATTTTTCATCAAAATAATGATTAAAGCAACCAAATAAAAAAACTTAATTAATGAAAGTTATAATATATATATATATATATATATTTGTTTTCCTTTTCGTGTTACCTCTGCTTAAAAGGTTGTCAATGATTGAGTTATAAAACTTGATTCCAGCTAAATTGACACCACCATATTTCCCATCTGTTCAACTCAAATTAAAACTAGGAATTAATTTAATTTGTAGCTGAAGGAAAAGGGACGAGGACCCTTTTAGAAAAGAAAGGACAAGAAAAATTATCAAAATCCCTACTTGGAAGTATTCTGCTCCACGAAATGGAGAACCGATAAGCATCAACTCCTAGAGAATGGATCAAGCTGATGTCTTCCTGTAATTATTTTTCAAATTAATAAAGATGACACTAACTTTTTTTGTGAGAAGAATAATGATGCTTTTTCATACGTAATAATGATGCTTCTTCATACGTAAGTCTAGCATTGTTAAGGGTCCATCTGATTAATTTAATAATGAGAAGATTAATTAGGTCTGTACGTACCAAATAACGATGGTAATGATCATTAGCTATATCTCCAGTGTCTGTATTTTTCCTAGCTGTGTAAATTTAAGAGTAAAAAGGAGACGAAATTATTTACAATTTTACATTAATTATTAGAAGGAAAAAGAGTAGAATAATATTGCTATGATCAAGTTTATATATTACTTACCTGCGGTTTTATGAACAAAAACATCCCAATCGCTTGGGCTTTTACCATCTTCAAGAATGGCACCTTCAATCTACAATCACATGTGATTTGCATGGTGTCATTTTGATTCAGAGCAGATTGTAGTAATGAAGAGGGACTAATGTTTGGTTATTTTTACTGGTTCCCGTATGGAAGAAACACATGAGATAAAAAATAACTTACTTGATATGCAGAGGTGGAAACACCAAAGAGAAAATCATCTGGGAAATGGGATCTATTGATATCTCCTATGTTTTGTGCATTTCCGACATTGGCAATTTCAGAAGTGATGATAAAGAATACGAGGAAGAGCTGAGAAATGAAAGAGGAGGAGGATGAAGAGAAAGGAGTTGTGGTTTTCATGGTTACGTAGGACTTTGAGGCTCTTTTTTGGGAGTTGGAGGTTACTTGTGAAAAGGTTGCAACTTGGAAGTCAGTATTTTATAAGCACGGAAGAAACAATAAGGACACACGTAGGGACTTAGTCGGCAAAAGCGCTTTAGGCGCCATCTTAGAAGAAAGTCATTCATTCATCACAAATCAATGATAAAAATAGGATAAGCCCCGTCCCATTGACTTCAATTTTGTTGGTGAAGCCACTATTTTGAGAATTTTCCAAGATATTACTAATGCCTAAAAAGGTTGAAATAATGAGTTGAGAACAGGTAAGTTGTATTAATAAGGTTAGATTTACCTGGATGAGCATCTTTTTTCAACCGTCAACTTTAACAATCTATCACGTAGTACTAGTATATTATTTTTGTTTTTCTTAGAGAAATCAATCGTCCACCTGCTTTCAAACCATTTTCTTAAGATATGTTTGACGTAAACTAATAACGTAGGCATGCAGGGTTGTTTCTATGGTGTAAAAGAAAAGGACTAAAAGAATTTACCATTCAGATTAGAGAATTGTCAGGGGCACATTGAGGCAGAGATTCTGAGTTTGTTGGAGGGCCGTGTTCATAAAATGATAAGATCCGCTTTTGTTTTTTCTCCATTTTCGTCCGTGTTAATGCTGATTATATTTTGTAGAATCGCTAAAAAAATAATACGGTGTTTTATATGTTTTTAATACTTATGTTGGCTACTTATGAGAAGAAAATGTTTCAGTAATCAAGATCTATCGGCTTCGAATCCAATTTGGTTGGACAAGTGATCACTGTGTAGTATTTTCTCCGATCCTAAAAATTAGTCTATAGATATTGAGTTTTGAAATTTAAGTTAAATTCACATAGTTAACTTAAAGTTAAAGTTTAGATATTATTATTACTTGTTTAGGTATTATTATTATTTTTTTGAACGAATCGAAACTCATATTATTATTATTTTTTCTAACGAATCGAAACCCATAAAAAAGGAAAAGCAAATTTGAATCAACATCACCTTGCTCCTTACAAAACCTAGTCACGCACTTGATCATTGTTTTTACTTGTAACTCTCTTACTAAATAGAATAGCAAATTAAGTAGCTGAAAGCATAAAAAATAAAAGTTCCCATAATTCATGTGAAGATTACGGGTACACACCTACCACCATCTAAAGAGAAACAAACAAAAGAAGTTGATTCTCGTTCGTGAGTCAAGAAAATTATGCTATATATAAAAATCATTTTCCCATTTAATGACTAAGCAAAAATCACTGTACGAAGAAGACTTTTCAACAGTTGCAAGCTATAAAATTGTATAAGATCCTTTTCTTTAACGTTTAATTATTTGTTTATTTTATTTGTTTGAAGGGGCCGGAGGAAACGTCCTTGGTTAACGTTTACGAATTTTACATAAGCGATTAAAATTAACATCTCGATTAATTGCACGTCAACGCCAGATAAAATGTATGCTTTCATGAAAACAAATGCCATTATATGTAACAGTTTCGAAGTTATAATGGTTAAAATGATTAAAAAAATTATTTAAAAGGTCAAGGACGGTAAGGATAATTATTCTTGAAAAAGTCAGCCATACATAATTTGTCCTGTTACAACGTAAGAATTTTTCATCAGTTGAAAGTTGAAACATCACCAAACTGGTATAGTTTTGGTAAAAATTTTCCAAGATATATACGAGTTGGAGTAATTTCATGAAACGCGGATTTATTGCATATCTTAACTGGAGTGAAACTATTGAAGGAGTGAACGTGCATATATATATATAATATATATAATAATAATAATAATTATTATTATTATTATATAATACTAAAATAAAGCATACTTCCTTTTTTTTTTTTTTGTTTTAGAACAATAAAAGAGGCCAATGTTTGAAGATCTAAACTATTAGGGTTGATAAGAAACACTCACCAAATTATGTTCCAACCATAATTTTAACATCGATGGTGGATCATTTAAGCACAATAATCTACCAAAATCAGCTATTGCTAAGGATTCAACTCTTGACATATATGTTTCACGTTTGCAACTCACAACCTTTGCATTAATGCACAGATAGTCATTACTACACTCCGATTCACACCAAATACTTTTTCATTACACTCCACCATCATAACACGCTCAAGTTGTTAATTTCCGCTATAATTTTTCGCGTCCCTAACTCCCAACTTAGATGTAAGCCTTGAGACAAATTCCAAAACTCAGCGCCATCAAAATAGAGTACACACAATTGCCGGTTTCTCATTGCGTAATTTATCGGTGGAAGTACTTGCAAGAATGAATGAGACACTAATCCCCAATTTGTGATTGTTTGGAGATTATAAAACAGTTTAATTGAAATTGTGTGATTTGAACCTAAATGTTCGAACTGAGCCCTTATAAATGCAGGTTGTGCATGCCCAACTGATTGGACCTCTAGTGTTGCCATCCATGAGTATCAAGTATCAACGTGCGCAAACCAGATTGGGAGTTAAAACACGACCAAGATTCAACATCTCTTCTCATCTCGAGGACATTAATTTCGAAATTCACTTTTATTCGTACTAATATGCCACTCTGTTACATGACACGTTTTTACATGATGAATTTTTATGTTAACATACTACTTTCTCTATTTCAAAATAAGTGTCATTCTAGAGTTTGCACACAGTTTAAAAAACACTAAAATAAGGTAACTAAATTACTAGAATATTCTCAACCAACCCCATTAAAATAATACTCACCAATAATATTATTTCTTTTGAGGGTATATTTGGAAATTTTTGACAAAAAATGCATTAAAATGCGAAAATATAACTTATTTTGGAATTTCTCCATTTTGTTAAAATGACACTTATTTTAGAATAGAGAGAGTATTTTTTTTAGAAGAATTATTATGTTTTCAATAAGATGACCCGTTACCCTCTTTTAGTATCTCAATGTTAACATTATCCTCTCCAAGAGTAAATTGTAAAAGTAATTTATGTCTAATATAGAAAATATAATTTTGTAAATGATCTTTTTATTTTGCTGGCAGCGACGAATTCATAAAAATTTGACGCGACTAGATTCGCCTCCTCACGTTAGAAGATGGTTAAACCATTTCTTATTCCGAATGCATTGTTGCCTGACTTTGGCGCGTAATATATTTTCCTGTTGCAACCAAAAAAAAGAAAAAAAGGGGGTGAAAAATGAAGAAGAAAACCAGACATTTGCATCAGCTACCATTTCTTACAACTTATAGACAGGATCAAGGGCGGAACTCTTAAAGGGCTCGGGGGTATCGAGTCCCTCTGGCCGGCCGAAAAGCCCTTTAATGGTTAATCTTACGTTATATATATTCGACTATCGATCTTGATTATGAATATATAGTTAGCTCTTCTAAATCTGAGTAGTCGGTTCCACCACTAGACAAGATAACATTTAATTTCAATATTATGGTGGGGTGGAGGTTTCCAGGACGGCCTAATTTCCGAGTTTCACCTACCAAAGTTTGAACTAACGCCGATTTCATGGTCATATCAAGATTGTTATTTTTGGTACTTAATTATTTTTCCCCCAGTAGCTGGTGGCATTCTTCATCACCCATGTATTTGAGACGTCGCAACTTACGCGGCATTGGAATTAAAAAACTGAATTTGGTGTACCAACTCAAACAATACGAATTGTGCCCTGAGCTTGCGAAAGCCGAAAGGCTATTGAATCCTCCTCAGAAGTCACAACCACTTCTTTATTTATATTCCCCCCTTCCAATTCCTGCAATTTTAATTATTCAAGTGACATGAAAACCTGTGGTCAAAATACACCCTCTACCCATGATTAAAACGTGTTAATTGTTGCTAGATTCTGGGGATCATATTGAAAATTCTCTTTGCAGGTAAGAAAATAGCTTAAACGGGCTAATTACACAAACAATCTCAAACAAAACTATAAAGACGTACGTGTAAATTCCTCCTCGAAATTTTTTTTTTTTTTAAGTCTCCCTTTCTGTTTTATTTTTTTTTTATATTTATTTATATTGGCTCATTGGGTGTAGTGATGCTTTTTATTTTGTTTGAACACTTGTTCTTAATAAATAAATAAAGGAGAGACATACGAAAAACTAACTTCTCTCCGATCTCATTGAAGGAAATGTAACGCATTACAATCCTCGACCGAACAATGACTTTATGAGCCATAATAGACTCAATTAGGCTCGGAGGTGGGGATATTTGCTAAAATTTTATTGCCATTTACGTTCCAAAATAAAATTCTTGATAGACAAAGTATAATAATTTATATTTGAAAAGTTTTCGTAATAATCTTGGAAGCACTACAACAAAAATGAGTAGTTTAGACACTTTTTTGTGTCTCAATAAGTGGTGCAATAGGACACATGTGATTCACATTGCGTGGGACACTACTAAATAGTGTCTCCTATAATCGAGTCACAATAAGTCATAAAACATTTGAAAGTGTATTATTAAATTGTCACTTATTAAGACATTTTAAAGTGACCCATTAAGTAGGGTAATAGCTTACAAGCAACTTCACATAGTATACTTATGATAGTGTTTCATAATATGTATACACTTTTTCATTTTTAATAAGACACTTTTTAGCAAATGTCCTAATATACATATAATGAGACACATTTTAGAAAAAGTGTCCCACTATAAAGGTATTAATAGCCCATTGTGTTGTACTCCCTCCATTCCAAAATAAATGTCGTCCTACACTTTGCACATAGTTTAAGAAACTCTTAAATAAGGTAATAAAATTACTTGAATATCCTCAACCAACCCCATTATAAAATTGTCCACCAATAGCATCAACTCTTTTGAGGGTAATTTTGAAAACTTTTGACAAAAAGTGCATTGAAATGTGAGAACGACACTTATTTTGGAATTTCTCTATTTTGTTAAAACGATACTTATTTTATAAGGGAGGGAGTAATTAAGTATAACAGCGGCTAGTATAATTGCAAGGAATTTCTTTTTCTTTTTTAATCCTCAATTTCACAGCTAAGGCGAACAAATGATTCCATCAACATATGGACTTGTCTAGAATGATAAGTTTCCATGATCTTGAGGTTCGAGACAAAATTAACCTAAAGAGGAAACTTCTTCATTTTCCAATTTTCTCAACCTCGGATTATCCCCTATTCTCAATTCACCTTTCTTTCTCCTTTTCCCAAAAAAAAAAAAAAAAAAACCTTTCTTTCTCAATTCTCACCTTCAACTCTCTCTATTCATGAAATTTTGAAATACTACAACATTTCTAATTTTCTTATATGTCTCAAATTCCAATCCATTACATAAGTTTCTGTAACTATGAGTCTATGACCCGCATAGATGTCTGACTTTTTCATAAAAGCCCAGACTGACTAATATCGTTACGGAAGATTAAACTACTGGCCCAAAGAACGAGTTAACTTGTCAGGTCATAGTTTCCCAACAAAAGTACTCCATTTACAAAAATAAAATTAAAAAAATCCACTTTAATTTTTAAAATTTGCACTAAAAATAATATAAAAATTTAAAGTAGATTATTCTTTTTGGTGACAAAAGTACAGTAGTATGGTTTTACTATACTACAATTTGCAGACCAACCATGTAAGTTTCTTTTCTTATTATGAAAAAGAAGAGAGTAGGAGATATATAGAGAAAGCATTTACGTACGAACTTGTTCTAGAAAAATAGGTTAATTTGAAAAATTAAAATATAAAACTTAGATGACTTAATTGCAAAATTAAAAAATTAATATGAAAAAATAAATAAAGTTTTATGACTTATTTATTAATTTAATAGTCAATTTTAGGTTATACTGATCTCAAAAGTCCAATTTTAAGATTTACATTTTAAAAATGTACTATTTTTCTTTTTTTTAGGACAGAGCTAATATATATAATTAATAAAATATTTTTTTAAAAAAATTTTGGTATGGGGTCTGAAGTCATCGTTGAGAAATAAAATATTCCTCAACAAATATTTTAATTTGAACATTGATCCGTAATTAAGTTAAACACAAATAATTTTACTTTGTAAGTTTTTTCTTTTTTATCTTAAGTGTTTGTTGTAAAAAAAAAATCATCATAGTTATTAAATTGAGAAAGAAAAGCTTGTAATCCGAGAGTTGAGAGAACGATAACGATCCTTCAATTGGTAGTGGAATACTTTTTGTTGCCGTGAAATTTTCCATTAACGTATTGTTGTTAGTTATTCTTAGCTTGTAAAACTCAAATTTTTCCTTTCCGCCTATCTAACAACTACTTATTGTAATTTGGCACATCGCGTAATTATCAAAGCTTCATGATTGTATTAGATCTACATCATCTACTGACTTAAAAATCTGTTCTCAAATCGAAACTTATCAAATGGTACTGTTGATGGTTTGTTGATGGAACCATTCAATTCAATCAACCGACACAAGACTACGGTCATAGCACATCTCCGAAATGCGGTGAAACAAAATGTAATTTTTTTTTTTGTTTTTAAAATACGGTAGTGATCAAGATAATCCCTTTTACCCTATTAAAGTAGAAGACATGAAGTTTATGTGGCAATTACGTATGCATCTGTTTTGGCTTCAATGCACCATATTTCAGATTTCAGGAGTCATTTTGCCACGTGTAAGTCTCTTTTAATTAGAAGCTATATAATTCTTTTTTAAAAAAAAAAACACATGTTTTAGATGTGACACTTATCCAATGAAAAAATTCTACAAATAAGAATAAGTTACATTTCAAACGAATGGATATATTAATTCAAATTCAAATGTCCAATCGTACAGTTTTGCAGGCTTAATATAAACAAAAAATAAAAAAACTTAAATCCAGTAATTAAGAGTAATGCGTTATAAACTAATTATTTATTATTCCCTTATAACCTCAGATTTATAGGTATATTTTTTTAAGCCCCAAACCATAGCATAAATGATATATATGCCAAATTAATTCCTCAAAAAATAGTAATTCAATTAGATTTTAATAAAATAGTAATTTAGAAGGGGCGCCCGAGCATCTACCTGGGCCAAACATCTAGTTATTTTTAAGACGTAGTACAAAGTAAATTTGAGAAAAAGGAAGAATCCAACAAACGGTGACGAAGAAGAGGTGCAAACGTGCAGTGAAGGGCTAAGAGAGGAGTCACAAAGATGGTGTAGGAAGAACACGTGTGGGAAATTAACCACATTTTTCGTTGGACAAACAAAAATCGCATTTTTGTGCAGAGTTGATATTGAGCTGTAAACACACACACGCGCGCGCGGAAGTATAGTTAACAACTACGTAAGACTCGCTAGCCAGATACGAATAATTAGAAGAGACGTACGTAGTACTAATGGTACTAATACTACGTAATTGAAAACAGCAAACAAAAATAGAGAGAGTCGGAATCTGAAACGAAAACCGAATTGAGTGTCCGAGTGGAAGCTCGAAACGTGGAACGGTGGCTCGCAAACACGGACTTCAATGTAACAAACACCACCTGAGTCCGCCGCTTAATAACCCTCCCTAGTTTCCATCACCATTCATCTTGCATGAATCAATGAATGCGCGCGCGCACACACACACACACATTCGACACACTCTTTCCTTCTCCACATTCTTGTCCTGATTTGTTCTTGTTCTTCCTCTTCAAAAAATAAATACATAAATAAAAGGAAGTAAATCCCTTTTAAGGTTTCGATTTTAAGAAACGAATTTAATGATTCTCATTTGAGTATTATTAGTTATTACTACATGCACACACACACAGGGAAGGAAATCTATAGAGTTTTTCTTATCATTGCTTCTTCCATTTAGTACTACATCTACTCCCTCCATAAAGGAGGGGAATAGAGATTGATTTCTAGAATTAGTTTTCTTTCGTGGAAATATGGGTGAAGAGATGGTTGATATGGAGGCTGCGGCACAACCCAAAGAAATCGGCCATGGAGCCATCTTTGAGAAATCTAATCGTCCTATTACTTTAAAGGTATATATCGCCTATACATATAATTCTTCATTTCCGACATCATTCACAATTTTGGGAATTCTTTTTTTTCAACTGTGTTAATCGTTTTTTTTTTTTTTCTTTTTTCGGTTTTGATTTCTGTATGGATTTAGCAAAGTCGATGACTGTACGTATATATGCCATCATCCCGGACGAAGGTTTACTTATTTCGAGGCTTTTGGAATTTAGTTGTAGTCTCTTAATGGAATTTTGTCCTGTATTTGCTAATTTGTCGTCTATCTGGAAGATTGAATCGGAATGGAATTTTCGGGCTAAATGGCAACAAGATTTAGAGTGAATATATAGAAATTGGTAATGTACATTTTTTCAGGAGTATATGCTTTTGAACAACATGAATCATAGTGTCTGTGAATGCAACAACTCATCAATATACATTCCATTTCATAAAATTTGGAGGTCTAATTAGACCTAAATTTACTAATTAGTTTGCACTTTTGATCTTCATTTTTTTTTTCTTTTCTTTTCTTTTTGCAGTTTGAGAACGTGGTGTACAAGATCAACATTAAAAGTGAAGGGTTTTTTAATAAGAAAAAGTTAGAGGATGAAAATAAAGAGAAAATCATTTTGAAAGGAATTTCTGGCATGGTGCTTCCGGGGGAGATGTTGGCTATGTTAGGTCCTTCCGGCAGTGGGAAAACCACGCTTTTGACCACCTTAGGTGGTCGGCTCGGTGGAAATCTCAGCGGCAACATTACCTACAATGGCAAGCCTTTTTCGACTGTTATCAAGCGTAACACCGGCTTTGTTACTCAAGATGATGTTCTGTATCCGCATCTCACAGTGACAGAAACTTTAGTTTACACAGCTCTGCTTCGGTTGCCAAATACTTTTACAAAGCAGGAGAAAGTCGCACACGCTGAGGCTGTGATCGCGCAGCTCGGATTGACCAAGTGCAAAACTAGCATTATTGGAAGCCGAAATGTGAGGGGGATATCAGGAGGCGAGCGAAAAAGAGTTAGCATCGGGCAAGAAATGCTAATAAATCCGAGCTTGCTGCTCTTAGATGAGCCGACATCAGGACTTGATTCGACAACGGCTCAAAAGATAGTTTCGACCTTGTGGGAGTTTGCTATTGGAGGCAGGACAGTTGTCATGACCATTCATCAACCATCAAGTAGGATCTTTCATATGTTTCATAAGGTCTTGTTGTTATCAGAAGGTAATCCCATTTATTTTGGGAAAGGTGCAGATGCAATGGATTACTTCTCGGCTGTTGGATATGTTCCTACTTTTCCAATGAATCCTGCAGACTTCTTGCTTGATCTTGCAAATGGTACATTCATTCTTTCCAATAATAAAAGAAAGCACCATCCTGAACTTTTATGGAAATTTTCATGTTACACTCTGAGTTTCTTGATTTACTGTATAATCATCATCAATTGCTGTTGATTTTTTGTTCTTAATTAGGCTGCTCATTCTATTAAACCAGAATTTGGTCAAAATATATTTGTGTGCCAACTAGAAAATCACTTAGATCAGCAAATATTTTTGAACAGCAAGCATGATCCTGGTGTTGTGATAAAAAGTGCTAACCTGTTGATGTAATCTTGTGAACTTGTAGGTGTCCCGGCGGATGAATCACGAGATGATCAAGCTTTAGTCAAGCAAAATTTGGTTTCTGCTTTCAAAACCAATTTAGCCAAAAATTTGGAAATAGAGCTGCAACAACCAAATGGTAACTTACAGGGGATATCAGATGGAAAGAAGCATGAACAGTGGACAACCACATGGTGGCAACAGTTCTCCATTTTACTTGAGCGAGGTGTGAAAGAAAGAAGGCACGAATCCTTCTCTGGCATCAAGACAGGACAAGTCTTAGTGATTGCTATTCTCACTGGCTTATTATGGTGGCAATCTGATAGAAGTCACTTGCAAGATCAGGCAAGATTACTCTTATCTTAATCAAACACGATTAACTTGATCACATGTTATCTATATTCGTTCAAGACTGATCTGATTTTTTCGAACTTATGAACTTGCATTAACAATATCTTTTATGTTAATTGAATATGTTATTTGGGCATAATGCAGATTAGTCTTTTCTTCTTTTACGTGGGATTCTGGGGATTTTTTCCGCTATTCAATGCCATCTTCACGTTTCCTTTAGAACTATCGATGCTTGAGAAGGAAAGGGCATCAGGAATGTACAGACTTTCATCATACTTCATGGCAAGGACTATAGGTGATCTTCCCATGGAACTAATCCTCCCCACATGTTTCGTCATCATAACCTACTGGATGGCAGGTTTGAAAGCCACGGCAGCGAATTTCTTTGGTTGTCTGTTGGTTCTACTCTACAGTGTGTTAGTTTCTCAAGGCCTCGGACTTGCTGTCGGGGCTTTGGTCATGGATCAGAAGGCAGCAACAACAATGGGATCGTGCATTATGCTCGGGTTCCTTCTCGCTGGAGGGTATTATGTTCAAAATGTCCCGAAATTCATAGCATGGATCAAGTATATCTCAATAGGTCAGTACGGATACAAGCTCCTCGTGATGTCACAATTTAAGCCCGGGGAAACTTATCCATGCCCTCCAAATGGAACTTGTTTGGTGGAAGATTATCCTGCTGTAAAGGCTGTAGGACTGCATGGATTTACAGTTTCCGTGATCGCCCTAGCTATCATGCTGGTGGGATATAGGCTTGTTGCTTATATCGCACTTATGAGGATTGGGGCTCCCAAAAAGTAGCAAGGCTACAAAATCATCATTCTGAGTTTCAAAAACAGCAAGATGGACTTAAAAAGTGTATTGGTTCGGTTTCATTGTAACATCATATGTTGAGGTGAATTAAGTTTGTCTTCTGATGTGACATGTAACAGGATTGAATTTTGGGGTTTACACTCACGCATCAAGTGTTGTGATACTCCTTGATCTCTTCCATTTTCTTGAAGCGAAAATGACTGGGGGACTGTACTGATTTATCTAAGGAAACATTTGGAACTTGTGTGTTCCAAAAGAATACTTGTCTTTGGAACAATAATTTCGAGATAGAATACGTAGATCTTTCAGTTGAATGCCAATTTCATTATGAGGCTCGGATAACTCGAGATTAGTGATCACGCGTTCTTTACAAGATATTATTTCTAAATGCATAAATTGTTTGTGCCTACGTTGCAACTTGCAAGTAGTAGGAAGCAAATGCATTTGTTCATTCTTGATTGCGTGATTTGATAAATTGCTCCTTTAAATAACCAGACTAAGGAATGCAGAAAATGAGGGAAGTCAGGATTGTTACCCAGATGAGGATAGTTCGGCTGATTAATTTTATTTCCGTCGGTAATAGTGACTAATCTCCTCGCTGAATTGTAGGTACATCGATGGGTGAGACAGCTAGTTAAAGTATTTAAGGTTGCTCCATGCCCGTGACGAGGTTCGAACTCTCAATCTATGGTTAAAGGTGGAGGAGTCTCTTCCACTCCATCACAATCGCTTTGGTTTAGTTGGGCTGATTAATAAAGCCGAGAGAAAAAAAGAGAACCCAACATATGAATTTTAAAATTGGAGCCACAAAATGAAACTTCTCAAGGAGGCCCAAGTTTACTACCAAGTTCCAACAGCATTGACCGGAACAACGTAGTTTGGATTTCTTTTCATCGCATATATATATAATTAAGTAGTATTGGAAGATTTTTATTTTTTTAAAAAAAAAGTGATATATAGTACTCCAATAAGATCACATTGTAAGTGCATACTTTTTTTCGTACAAGGAGTCCATAGTTTTTTTTTTTACATACCCGCAAATCCGGCAATCTATATGGAACTTGATCTTGATCCGAAGACCTTTAAACGGTTAATTTAGATTCGATCATTAGGAAGACTTAGCTGTTAAATGCAGGCAAAACTGCTAAGACTCACTTGACACCAGCAACCAAGGGATGTCGCTCCTTGAACTTGAAAAGCAAAGGTGACCAATCTCCTCTCCGATAAGTTTAATCGCATTCAAGAGTAGGCCAAATTTGTTGTTAATTTTTAAGCTTTGTTGAATTAATGTTTTGAAGAGCTATGGTCAAAGTCTCACAAGATTCTTTTCACCCGCGCATCTCACTTTATGTGATCATTATCTAATGGATTTGTTACCAATAATGTGAACTTAATGTGAAACATTATATTATTATATCTAGTTTAACTTTGACATAGTTGACTCTACAAAATGCACAGCAACCGAGTGTCACAAAACTCCTTCACTTCTTCAACCATTATGGTTCAAAAGTAATAAAAAATAATCATAATACAGTATATCCTACCAAATTTGGACTTGTCAACGAGACTCATTAATGAATTAATGTATATATGTCACGGTTCAATTAGACCCCAGGGACCATAAAACGTGGATAATTAATTTGTGGACAGAAGCTAAGGCTATATTTGTTTCCTTTTTCTCATGGTTTTTTCAGAATAATATAATAATATATGTCTCATCCCAGCATATCTTTTTATATTTTCAATACAAATTTTTACATTTCCAATACAAAACATACCTAAAGACACATACTAAAAAAACGAAACAACCATACCCTTACAATTTCTTTGGAGATGCTATTACATACGAAGAAACAGAAAATGAGAAGCAAAAATAAGCAAAATTAGGAGGCTGTCTGATGCGAAAAAGAGATGTGAAAACAAGCTAATCATTCATAATAATTGAGGACTGACCCAAAGATATCCGACAATGCATACTCTGCATCTGCATCGTTTTTGTTGTTTTTTCCATTTTCTCTGCCTAATTTGTACTAAAGTTCTGGTTTGGCCTTCCCATTTTGGTGCCCTCAAGTTGCCCCTTTATACATTGTGTATGGCTCTTGTGTATTCCCTATTTGCTGCCACATTAATGTTCTCACACGCATTAGGCATGTTTTTTCAAGGGATCGATTCCATCGTCTTCCATGTTATCCTTGATCTGGCCATCAAATTGTCCCAAAGTTTGGTGATGATGTGATTAAAAGATTGCAAAAGTGATTACTTTTATCCATTAAGATCAAATGTCAATTAATCAATACAGCTAATGATGAAAAAGCTGGTTCCAAAGTACCATAATAGTGGCAGCTAACTAGCTTGTGTTATCATGAGTGTGGTCAAGAATAAAACTTTTAGTATCAATACTAGAGTTATTTGTTTGTAAAACATTGCTTATGTTTGATTTACTGTAAAACAACAACCACACACCAACAATAAACAAGATTCTTTTCTGGTACGGAAAAAAAACACCAATTTTAAGATTTCTTCTGTCTCGAAATTATTGTTCAATTTATGTTTTCATTTTTAATACAAATTGAACCAAAGGTAAAATTCCAAACTGGGTAATAATTTTGAGACTAAGGGAACATTATACGAGCCGCAGAGAAAAGTTTTCAGCATATCCTTTTGCAGGAATACTCGCTTGAAAACCATGATTCGGGGTATTGGAATTTTTTCTATTATAGCCGTAAAATGGCACAATCTTTTTCTGACTTTTTGGCCCGATGCTTCAAGTTTGTAGTACTAGTAACTAGCTAGAGCATGGTTTGAAATAGGACAATATAGTCAAAATCTAATTAACTGTTGCAATTGAAGCATTATTTTTTTTTTTTCCTTTTTTCTTTTTCCTGAATGGAGTCAGATGTGTGCGAACCACATTCTTATTCTGTTCTTTCAAGGGGTTGAATTGATGCCCATCACGTTATTAGAAGATAAAAACGAGCCATGCATTCAAGCGCCTACCATTTGGACCCTATGGACCATTTGACTGATTGTACATAATTCTATATACTACTAGCATTACTATTCCGTTTCCTCGAATACTATTCATAAAGTATAAATTTAAAATACATCTTCTCGATGATGCTCCGAGTCTCATAAGGAGCCCCAGCATCACCATTATTCAATCTATTATAGGGTTTTTTTTTTTTTATTAACGATTTAGGAAAACAAACAGTGAGCATAAAATGAATAGTCTACCGGTGATATTCACCTCGTGCCATAAAGTGGACTCATGAGTTCGAGCAAGTTCGAACCAAATCCAGGAAGAAAATTAAACGGAATTTATTTCAACATTTTCTTGTTTTCCTACGGAGAAGGTCATGAACTGCTATATGAATGTGTTCGTTATTCAAAGTACCATTGTAGTCCATATTAAATAGTTGTATTGCATAAAAATGGAAAACAAAGACCAGAAAATTTATCTTAATTTTAAACTGCATGATATATAATCAGTTCAAATCAATAATTCCGGCCTCGAAGTCTAGCTATTCAACTACTATAGTTCATATATATCCATGTGAACAAAAAATAAAAAATAAAAAAATACAGAGATTGTCAAGACGAAATTAATTTTCTACCAACCGAATCGATATATAGAGCTTGAGCTTCAGTCTCGTATGCAGCGATTTAATACAATTTTATTTGACTCAAGAGGCAAAAAAGATAAAATAAAAGCATGATAAACCTTTAGGAAAACTATCATTAAACTAAAAAAAATATATATATAACAATAATCATTTTGGCCTTTTGACTTGAGTTTTGAGAGATGGAGCATTCTTTCTGAGGACGAATTATTTCATTGAAGCATAATCCACATCTAAAACGCTTTAGTTTGAGCTTCAAAGTTAAGTACTTTTCTTGAATTTGAGTAAACAGACAAGAAAATTATTTTTAGACGGAGAGAATGTAATCACAATTGTGAATAATTAGTCAGCTTTAATCCACTTATATTATAATGATTGGCAAGAAATATAGTAACTACGTGGAGTAGGGTGCCTTTTTAAGTAAGGAAACCCAGTCAAGCAAGCTAATTCAAAGATTATTTTAGTGGTTGAAAGCTAGATTGCACATTGTAAAGCACACTGAAGAGGATTAATTAATTAAGAAAATGCATTGCTGCGATTAAGGAAGCATGAATAAGTTCATCGTTTGAACAATACAGCAAGTCACCAGTGACGTAATCCCATTGGTTGCATCAGATTTGAAGGAAAAAAGTGATTGATTACTTGTAAGAGTTAACAAAACCCAGAGAATTAATTAAATAAATCAACCAAAACCCCCTTTCAAACCTTTCTGTTTTAGTACATATTTTCCTAACTAAGCGCTTCAGTCCAATCCAATTTTCAACATTTTATAGCTTAGAGGATATAAGTTTTACCAGCTCTTAAGAAATTTATGTAATCCTTACGTTTTATATAATAAAAAATAAATCAAATCAGAAAATACGCCAAATCTACCCATCAACAAAAATCACGGTAGGGTTTTGGCCCTCTATTTGACCATCAGGTGCTCTCTAATTGTCGTTGCTGACATTAAAGCCTACTAGAATTACATGTTTTATTACTATTACAAATTGACAATCGCACTCTTGAACTTTAAAGTGGACTTTAACAGGGAAAAAAAAAAAAGCTATGCTTCTTCTTCCTTCTTCTTCTTCTTTCTTTCCAATTGGAAAACTTGTGAAGAGGGAGATGTAATTTTTTTGGTACTTTGTCTGTTTTGTTTTTTTTTTTTTTTTTGCTGGTTTTTTCATAATAATATAATAATATATGTCCCATTCTAACATTTTTTTTATATTTTTAATACAATTTTTTACATTTTCAATAGAAAAAAAACACTTAAAAACACAGACTTGAAAAACAAAACAGACATAAACGATTCAGGCATGCACATCTTGCTTGAACTGTTGGTAAACGAAGTGATATAGCTTAACACTGTCATCTACAAATTTTCGTGCACAAAACTCTTATTAACATATTTTTATATTTGACTTTTCATTAAATAACTACTACTATAGTTTATTTGAAAAAAAAAATAAAAAAAAATCTCCCAATAAAAATGATAGATACTTACATCTGAAGCATCTGGGGTGACACTAAAACATCGACATCCAATGAGGTATATCCAATGATGCATGGGAGTTGTCCGAATCTGGACCTCACAACTCCTAGAGAAAAGGGTAGAAAGCTTTAGACGTGTGTGCTGTTTTGAAGTTTTGACCTACCCAACAAAAAACCCAAAAGTCATTCCAGTTTTGTTTTTTTTCATTAGTAGTAGTACTTAATAGTCATACATAGATTCCTTTTTCTTCGAGTGAATTGAAGGATTACCACGTGCAACCTTAGATTACGACAACCCCCCCAAATCAAACCTACAAAAGTTTGGCCTCTTGTTCCATTCCATAATCAAACTATTCCACCTTTGACCCCCTCCCCTCCTTTTTATTAATTAATTATAATTAAGTTTACTCTTACGTCCTTTCCAATCAGACACACACGCCATATGAAGAATAGCTTCCTTGAGATCTGCTAAGCATTCCTCTTGCTTGTGGTGAGGTAATTGTTTATTGTGTGTTTGTTCGTTGAAAGTATTTGAAGAGAAGTTTCCAGTATTGAAACCAAAAGAAGGATTCAGAATGGACACAGGGCATATGTAATGTAATCTTTTAAGCTTTGTTTGTTTCAATTTTTAGATGGGTTTTTTTTTTTAATTATTATATTATTAACTGTCTCATCCCAACATACCTTTTTACATTTTCAACACATTTTTATATTCACAATACAAAAAACACCTAAAAATACACACTAAAAAAAACGAAACAAACATACCCTTAATTAACACACACGTCAGATGTAGCATATGTCATGCCGATGTGTGTCCAAATATGTACTATACATCTTTCCAATTACTAATAACTAATAATAGTAAGAGAGGGCGGGGAATGAATGAACTGTTCATTTGAGTGGTTTTAATCTGTTAGTTCTCCATATAAAACATCATGCGAGGTTGAAAATTATTAATTATTAATTTTTTTGTTTTATTACAATAAGAGAAACAATTGTATGCGACAAAATTGACACATTACACAAAGTTACTACTTTTATAGTATCATGTTTTAATAGCGAACCATCTATTGAGGGAGGAGCTTTAAGTCAATAGAAATTATTTAATGCATCATTGACGATACTAAAGCAATCAGTCACAAATTTGATACCTGAAAAACAGATTTTACATCATTTGAAGTGTTGAACACTGCCTCTTGACGAACTAAGCCATCATGCACATTACATATAACTTTTTTCAACCCATGCACAAATAGTGTGTAATCCATGAAATAATTTCCCCAACACCAATCCTATCCAGTAGCACATCTGACAATATCTTTCGCACTTGTCATACCCGTTAATTACCCATTCTCGATTGCCCAATTTTCCGACAATAATGTTCTACAACGTATCCTTGTTAGTATAATATACGTTGGACAAACAAGGGAACATACATGCTATACCAGTAAGGCATCAATGATAAAATTATCAGATTCACGTGACTGTAAGAAACAATACAAAAGACCCTTGGTATTTAGAGCAAGATTGATTTGTACGTATTTGTATATGTGCTACAGCAGTAGCCCAACGATTTGATGCAATAACTCATTTTTCTATTATTCATTTGGTCAATCATCTCCTATACGTATGTCATCGTGATATACATGAACGAATATGCTGTACAATTAAATAAATATCCAAGAGAATAGTGTTCTAAATTGGAAGATCGTGTTCTACAAATGCAGTCGTCATGTTGACCTTTACTCAAATAGTAGAATTGTGTATGGCTTAACATTGAAGGCCATTAAAATAGGGTGATTGAGTGAAAGAAACCCCAAAAAGGCTCGGAAAAGAAAAGTAGCTCCTACTACAAACAACAACAACAACAACAACATTACGATGGGACCCCTAAGCAAAAGAGAATACTACAACACAACAGTATAACAAATTTAAGGACCCCCCAAAAAAATAAGAAAATAATTTGCTAATCAATAACGTGGCAGAAAAATGTGACACCGTTACACAAAAGGGTTTTTTTCTTTTTTTTTTTTTTTTAAGGATGGACTGTGCCTTTTCTCGATCATTTCTTTTGGGATAAAAAATGGAAATTCCGCCTAACTCCAAACGCCTTCTCTTTGTTATGAGTCCACGTGTTTGCACGTGTCCAACACTCCATCTCCTCTTCTCTCGCCGACGCAATCTTTTTAGTCCACGCGTAAAATGCAGCTCTCCCTTTAATTTGTTCTTTGTTCATCTCTTTTTTTCCCTGGTTATTTTCATCTTTTTTTTATCTTTTTCAAATCTATTTTTTACTCCAATCGAACAACTTTGGTTGTTTTAACGTATTTTTAAGTCATATTTTAATAAGTAATATAGTCTTTGTAGAATTTGGATGTCAGCATGGTTGTTACACTTGCTCCTTACTCTTTGTATTACGTATTTTTCTTGATCATCTTTTTTAAAAAATCATATTGGGTATATCTTTGATTATTGAAAGACTACTCCATGTTATTCCAAATTGGCATTTTAAAGAGGCATGGTACGTAATGACTAAAGCATAAAAGCCTAAATGTGGCATCTCCTAAGAAGAATGTGTGTCGTATTGAATGTTTACTTTCACTAAATGTTCCATAGTTAGTAAAATTTCATTCCTATTGAATGTACAAGATTTTTAAAGGGAATATTCACAAGCTGTATTCTTTATTTGATCTGGATGAATGTATGTACATCGTACACGGTACATGTATCTTATATTCTCATTTGTTGAATGTTAGATATACAACGATTTATAATGTTAGCTAGACTTTTTAATTTTTTCACCAAAACAGACGTTAAACGTTAATTACAGTTTGCTTTCGAGGTTCGATCTGATAATTAAATCTCTCAATACACCATATTCACTGAATATTAATGTTTTGAATATGAAATTTTTTCAATATGTAAATGAGAAGAGACAGAAAATATCAAACATTTACAATTACACGACGTAATTAGAGAACATTCATAATGTCATGTTTCACTTCACCTAAAAAATCATAAATGCATAAAAATGTCTTAAGACTGTGTCATTAAGAGCTGTGTTTTGAAAATCGGATCGGACCGGGGTGGTCGAACCGGTTCGACCAAGAATCGGAGGTCTTTCTGGTCCCGTTTGAATTAATAATCGGTAACCTTAAAAATCGGTCAAACTCCGTCAAACCCAAACAAAACCGCAGTTTGATCGGAAATCGGTACCGGTTAAACCGAAATTTTAAAATTTTGAAAATTAATAATTTTTTAAATAATTTTTATAATCGGTTTTTACCGGTTTTAAAAATCGATTTAAACCGGTTGAACCGATAAACCAGTGAACCACTTAAGTTGTCGGTTCACTTTCTAGTCCGATTTTCAAAACATAGGTTAAGAGTTTGTTGGTTACGCTTTTTTTTCCAGTGTTATTCTTTGAAAGTTTGAACTTTGAATCACTTCGCAGGCAGCTAATTGTAACAATACCATAAATAGGACAAATACATATGTATGTGTCACATAATCAATGCACGCGGTATTAAAAAAATCACATAATGATTTCGTCATTAATTCACTTAATGATTGTTAAGAAAAAAAAAAACAAGGAGGTGCCTAGAATCTTTTTTTTGTATATTGTTATTTTCCTTCGAAAGATGTGCCTAGAATCAACCTTGGGGATGTACCATTCTCTTTTGTTTCGTAGCATTTCCCATCATCAAGAAGACGCCAAAAGAAAACATTAAAAAAGTAGTCTTCTAGATGTCACGTGAGGTATAGGCACGTGGACAGTGGCTCTTTTTTCTTTTTGTAAAAAATTAATTAGTTTTATACTACTACTATTACTATTGGTTTTCTTTTTCATCCTTTTACTCCTGTTATTACATCATCATACTTACTACTTTTATTTTCTTTGATTTCTTTTTTTCTTTCTTTTGAGAAAATTACTTTTGTAGAAGGGGAAGGATGCATTGCACCTGGCTCAAGGCTATGGCATTGGATAAGGTCGGCCGCATGATAATGCCGAATTTCTTTAGTACGTGTCGATTTCCAAACGGTGATCAAACCCCGGGTGGGTCCGATTCATAGACTTTGAGAAAAAGACGACCGTACTTATCTCTCTCGGGTTACACTTCAGTCTTCTTCTTCCCCCTATAAATATCCCCTGTATCCCTTCTGTTCCGAAGAATTGGAAAAAAGAAATCTTTTTTTGAATAGTTTTACCATTTTTTCACTCCACAATTCTTCATTCATTTCTGAACATTCAAAAACAAAGCCTTTTTTTTTTTCCTCTTTAATTAAGATGGGCGTTCAAGAACCCGACCCGCTTTCTCAACTGAGTTTGCCACCAGGGTTTAGGTTCTTCCCGACGGATGAGGAGCTTCTGGTGCAGTATCTTTGTAGAAAAGTTGCCGGTCATCATTTTAGTCTTCAGATCATTGCTGAAGTCGATCTTTACAAGTTTGATCCTTGGGTCCTTCCCAGTAAGTTTTTGTTTTTCCTTCTTGGTTAGATATTTATATTCAATTGTTCTGAGTTTTCATTATGGTCTAATTTGGTAATTGTATTTTAATAAAACAGGCAAGGCGATATTTGGAGAGAAAGAATGGTACTTTTTTAGCCCCAGAGACCGAAAGTATCCAAACGGGTCGAGACCCAATAGAGTGGCTGGCTCTGGCTACTGGAAAGCAACTGGAACCGACAAGATTATCACAACAGAAGGGCGTAAAGTTGGAATCAAGAAAGCCCTCGTTTTTTACGTCGGAAAAGCTCCAAAAGGAACCAAAACCAATTGGATCATGCATGAGTACCGACTTTCCGAACCTCCCCGCAAAAGTGGCACTTCCAGAGTAAATCCCCAAACCCGTGTTTTTTTTTTTTTTTCCAATCAATCCCTGTTTTTTTTTTTTTTTAACTAAAGACTAAATCTTTTCCTTGTTTGAAATGTTTGTGTAGTTGGATGATTGGGTTTTATGCCGGATTTACAAGAAGAATTCGAGTGGTGGGATGAAGCCAGTTTCAGGGATGATGATAAGTAACGAACACAGCCACGGTTCATCGTCATCATCGTCTTCTCAATTTGATGATGTTTTGGAGTCTTTGCCTGAAATTAATGACCGGTTTTTCGCTTTACCGAGAATGAACTCCCTCAAGAATAATAATAATAACGTTCATCAAGAAGATCAGAAGATTAATCTGCAGAATTTGGGTTCCGGGAGTTTTGATTGGGCTACTCTAGCCGGGTTGAGTACCCTGCCGGAGCTTGGTCCGACAAGTCAAGCTCAGGCGATTCCGGGTCATCATGGACATCTGAACAACGTTAATGGCAACAACAATAACGAGAATAACAACAACATGAATGTACAAAATGATTTGTACATCCCGTCATTTCCAAGGATTCACATGGATGAGGAAGTTCAAAGTGGAATCAGAAGTAACCGGGTTGAGAATCCGGGTTTCTTCCAGCAGCAAAGCACCGCCAACGTTTTTTCCCAGAGTTTTCACGATTCGGTTGACCCATTCGGGATTCGGTACCCGCCCCAAACAGGGAATGTAATGGCGTTTAGGCAGTGAAAAAAAAGAAAAGAAAAGATTACATTGGGGTTAGATTGTGATAGATGAGGATTACTTTGGGGTTGATATTGTAAATATTATGGTATATTCTTTGGGTTTAGACATTTTGACTTCTCTGGAATTAAAAGGCTAAGAGAAAGGAAAATACGGTATAGGAGGAGCCAGCTGGAGAATTTATCATTTTTATTAGTGGTGGAGAAAAGTCAAATATTAATTACCCTCATTTTGTAATTTTTCTAGATTATTGCCAATATTCAATGCTCTCAAGTAGTAGTGAAATTTACCTTAGAATGTTAGTTCATCTGAATGTAAATTTTTTCTCTGCTCAAAAAAATTGGAGCATTTACTCGAAATGAAAAGATCTTACTTTTTAATGCACCAATAAAAGCCATGCATGTATTTGTTAACCTTTTCTATATTTGGTGAAACCCCATTGGAGGTTGAATTTTCTTAATAGTTACGATTAAGGAAAAGATTAATGAATGAGTCAAATGCACAAAGACAAAAATGGGTATTCCTTAATATAGCTGTTTTTAAGAATGGTTTAAAAAGATATAATAATAGTAAGAAATGATAGAAAGTAGAAACTAAAAACATTAGGTGAAAGAAATTGATTCTGTTTGGTTGGCTTTTATTTTTTCATAATTTTTAATTAATAATTGTTTCATCTCAATATATTTTTTATATTTTTAATATAATTCTTTTTCATTCACATAATTAAAACAGCTAAAACACACATTAAAAAACCGATCTAAACATAGGTACAAGAGGAGTAGGGAGGAATTAACCAATGGGGGGGTTCAAGTCGGAATGGAGTTTGGAATCATGGGAAAGGATGCCAAAGTCAAATTCCATTTCTCGATTGCTGAATTATAATGTCAGGCAAATGACGAATGGCTGAAGCCATTAAGTGCAAGTAAATTGATTGACAAGAAAATATACGCACGTGCTATACGACTGGACAGCTCATCAAACGGCGGCAAAGCCCACGTTTATCCTGCCAACTTTTTTATGTCATTCACACACTTTACCCCCATTGCGGCGCCGCCGGCCTTTTTATTTTAATTTCTTTTGCCGCTGCTTCTTGCGGCGGTTACTTCTTCTTCTTCTTCTTTCTTTCAGAGTTATTCCCTTATTTCCTTAACATGAGTCCGTGAATTACATATTATTATCAGTGAATTCCACGTCAATATCGTGAAAGATCTGTTACTTGTTTATAAGTGTCAAAAATCACTCCATTCATTGTTAATTGATTTTGAGATGTGAGCCTAAAATATTTACATATTTTGACAATTATTACATTATAGGATTATGCTATCCCTTCGACATCATTCACGTTTCTTTAGTTAACTGAGCTGATTCACCCTTCTTTTGATTATAAACGATCAACTGGTGTTACAAATTACACTAAAGGAATCAACGTCAAGTGGAAAGTTTTGTCTTCAACCATTCTTATTTGTACTCAGTTATATACTAGTTATATACTGTTCAATGATAAGCAACTTGATTTTCCGACCATTCACTAGTCTTTTTGTAAACCAAATTTCCACATTACATTTTACTAAATCAACTTGAATTTTTCTACTTGCACTTGTAACATAAATTGAGGAAGAATATCCCATGGCGGCCAAGAGAGTTGCTAGCTTTTCCACACTGGAAAAAAATAAAATAAAATAAAATTCAAAACATTTGTTGACACACAATAAGTGGAAGTTTCTTGTGTCTTTCCTTCCAATTTTAGCCGGACTACGACAATAATTTCCTCCTCCAACTTCGTGGATGTGGTGAAATGAATTTTTGTCATGATTTTCGGCCTTCCGCTAAAATGAGCAAAGAATTATTGCTGCTCGTTATAGAATTGACTATGCTTTGGCCCAATTCCGTTTTTAAGTACAATGGCCCAAAGCTATATTATTTTTGGCGTTTTTCACTGTTGTCAATTTCGATTTTGATTCTGCACAAATTATTGTACGAGGGAGAGATGTACTCAAAAAGAAATGGCGTAGAGACGTCAGACGTTGGAATGACAAAAGTAGAAATCTCCTAAGCGTTCGAACTTGATTTAACTTTAAACGTAGCTCTATCTTGAACAAGATCAACATGAAAGTAGATTCAACAACATCCTGACTCCTAAGCTTGGCTTGATTTAATACTAAATTTTTTTCCCCATCAAGGCATACCCTATCACTAGTGATAATTATTTCCTATGTCTCAAAATTATTATCTAGTTTGGATTTTCAATTTTAATTCAATTTGTATTTAAACTGAAAATCCAACGAAAGGAGTACGTAAGTACTTAATTGGTGGCAAATACCCTCACAAGTCGCTATATGTTCATAAAGGGGTTCAAACACTCCACTTTCAATAATTACGAATGAATCTCTACTACTTAACCAATCTATACCAAATAAATAGGGATTTTACAGTGTGAAGTTCATAAGTGTTACTGGTTGTTTACTGTATCGTATTCAAATTTATTTATTTTTTTATTTATAGTAAATTGTTTACCACTGTTTACTATGACTGGTCCGATTGACGGTAATTCCAAACTCAGGTTCATTTTATTTAAGAACCAAATAATTCCTACCATTAACTCTAAATTCTTTGCGGAAGTATTTTACTTTCTCTCTCTCTCTTTTTTTTTTTTTTTTTTGTGTGTGCATATTACATAGTATCTCACGCTTATGGTCTCGATAAGATATGAGAACTGGTAAAGGGATTTAAAGGTCGTATATTACTTTGACCTTCTTTAATTGTCATGTACTGTAAGTCTGTAACGGGATTGCCTAAAAGTAACTATTCCCAACCAGTCTTTTAATAGGCCCATCAAGGTATTTTTGGTAGTCTGAATTCGATAGTATGTAGTGTATGAAATTTTCGGCTGGATCTGATTTGTTCTCTGGCCTCAACGAAAAATGAAGAATTTTTCTGGATTTATTAGGCTCATAAACAATGATCCAGATACTAACACGAGATCAATATAATTTAAGATTGGGCTACATCTAATTTGATGAATGATGATGGAGCCTCCATTTCCCCAGCCTAAGCCCATTAATTATGATAATGAATTTCGTTTTCTTTTTTTTTTTTTTTTGGGTGGAGGTTATTCATCACGATATATAGTAAAATCCCACTTTGTAGACAAAGCAATGAAGCATCTTATAAAAATGTGACTCTTATTTTTTTCCGTGCAAAGAGAATCTTTTAATATTTTCTCAAATTATTACTGAGTGGACAAATTATTAAAAAAAAAAAAGTTGACGTTCATTTTTTACTAAAACTGGTTCAGCAATGAATTCCAAGCGCTATCATGTGGTAAAAGTTAATATCAAATCTTTAAATGTTTTTATCGAAAGGCATCTCTTATCATCACCATCATCATCATTTAAAGCCCCATTGATTTTAAACTTAAACCAGCCGATGAGATCACAGAAAGTTTTAACTTAATCGGTCGACACGCTTAAAAGATAATAAATACACGTTTGACGAAAGGTTAATGTGTAATTATCTCTTATATTATCCTTAATCCTCGTTTGATAATATAGTAGATTAATTCACAGTTTATAGACTTATTAAAAATAAACACAAAAGGCCGAAGCCTTTGTCTTTTTCTTTCGAATTGGAAAGTGATCGTAGTGATTGATTGAAATGAAAAAGAAAAATGTTGCAATGCGAAAGCAACTTTTAAGCATAGGCCATCTCCATATTCCATATTTGGTATAGCAAAAGCTTAGCCACTTAAAACCCCCTTTAATTGTTATTCTTAACTTTTTGGATGTTGTGGACATCATTTTTTTTTTCTAGACTAGATAATGGAATCAAATATTGGTTTTTAATTTCTTACAATATCAAGAGAAGGCAAAGATAGATGATTATTAACACAATATTGTTAGCACAATCTTCTAATGTTTTTCAAATAGAACATATCGAGTGTTGCATTATGTCCTAACAGGTACACATACTACGACATATATTTTCTAGCAAATGTAATTTTTTAAAAAAATTTTAGTGAACTATTAAAATGAAACGGAACGAGTAATTATTTTAATTTGCGTGTTAAAAATATACTATTTTTTTTTGTATCATTATATCTGAATTAGAGTTTTAGGTGGGACGTATTCCGGAATTGATGGGGGTCATGTTGGGGATAGACGAAAATACGGATTTTGATTCCGAATATTTATAATGCGCCAATTTCACCATCAGATTCCGTAGATTCTACGGTATATACATTCATAGGTAAAAAAAAAAAAAAAAAAAAAAGAACAAACCTATCAGATCGAAGTCGACTTCCAATTAAAATCATATAGTACTATCTTTCATTTTGATTTTGAATTTTTTTTTCTGTACCTACGTATATCTGATGTAATAATGGGGTAAACTATCCCTCTATACTTATTGGCGCCAATTTGATTCTCTTTCTCTTTGATGATTCTGGAATAATCTTACAAAATCTGCAGCATGTGTAATGTGTTCGATAACTCTTGCAAATTGAATTGGTCAATTAATTCCCCCAACCATCAATTTTCTTTATTATTATACTGTAACTCTGCTGCTTAAATAGCTGTTTGTTTTCTAATGGCTTGTTAGGAATACTCAAAATGGTCTAGATAGATAATCATGCAAATTGTGAGCTTAAATTTGACAAATATTAGTCCACATTAATCCCGTCTTTTGTGCCTTTTCAGCTAGTTGATGAAGTTCATTTTTTACTTGGGAGGGGAGGGGGGAATCATCAACCTATATAATTAATTCAACTTAGGTGAAATAATTCGCGTACAAAATGCTCTTCTGAAAACCTACATGTATGGTTCCTCCATTTATTCTTTGATGTATTTTACTGATTAAACTTTGTGAATGTACTGTATTTTTGGTATTTAAAGTTCAGGAAAAAGACTATTAATTTTAATGCCAAAAGAAAGGGGAAAAAAATCAAATTTGTTTCAAACTAGGTTCAGAAAATAAAACAACGGACAAACAGTCTCCTTTCGAAGCCATAAAGATTGTAGCTAACTGTTAGCTTTCTTTTATTCACCAAATATTATGCTTGCCAAATCAATATTATTCTCCCTTCACAGCAAACCAAAATACTCATTAATCAATCATTTCTTTTTTACTTTCAAACAGTTGGTAGGAGGAAACTAAGCAAACTTATTAAACCTCCCTAACTTAAAGACTCAAAAGTGGGGAAATGATTTGAAAATGGCTGAAAATTATATATACAGTATCGTGACAGTCATGCCTTATATCTTATATGTTAATCTTAGAGATAAAAAAAAGTACTTTGAATATGCGAACGACATATCTCCTCTTCATCCCAATTGTATCCCCCATTGATCCGTAATTCAAAGTTTGACATGCATTACAGAGAAAACTGCATACAAAAAACCCAAA